AAAATTGTCAAGGCTATTTTAATTTAATTAAGTTTTTCGATATCCTTGGGAAGAATCCTGTCATCGTTTTATAAATTTTAAGATGCAGATTTACTAGAAATGCGCTAAAATATAGGAAACATGAACGATTAATTCAAGTTATTAACTAAAACTTCAACTAAAAGCCGGCACGGGTTATCGTTATCCTATGGCCATAAAACTTCATATATACTATAATGAGGCTGAAATGCACAAATAAAGAGGGTATGCATATAAAAATTTTGCAAACAAATTTTGTTCCATACATATATTCTTGTGACAGTCTAGTATACATACATGGATAACCGCCATTATATCGAATTGAATACAATTCTTTATGATGCCGTTATTTTGTGCGCAAATACGGTAAATATTAGAATATGAATGCACCCATTGTAGCAGCGGCTCTCAACCAACTAAATTTAATACATTTGTGCCATATTGTAGGGAAAAGGGGTGGGATCATCTCTTACCGCTATTCCGCTCTCAGTGAATTTGACAGAAGCGCTGTTTGTATGCCGTCACACTTGTGCAACTTTTCTACGTTTTTATTAGCAAAATTTCTTCTTCTTCTTACATTTTTTTTTCGCTTTTTGACATTTCTCTTTCGCAACTGCACCAGTGCGACGTCACACAAAAATTTTTCTCAAAAATCCTCTATCATTCTTGCATTTGTGCTTTATCTTTGTACAACTATGCACTGAAATATGAATACAATTTTACTTGCGCCATGTTTATTGTGATTTTGATACTGAAAACTATTTCACGTCTAAAAAGTTTAATCAATTCCGCACCATATTTTAGCGGTATGGGTCGCTTTAATCTGGCAGACGTCTCAAGTTATTGGGCGCTTAGGCCTTAAAGCAATTCGAAAGTTTCATCAAGTTTTCCTCAACATAACCACGTGATTTTCAATTCAATGCATCATGTATTTGAGATGTTCTATCACAAAAAGTAAAAACGATTTTATGCTACATACTTATTTCAAAATATATAAGTAGATAATTAATTATATATTTTTTTTTTAATCCGACACAGTGTCCGAAGACGAACCGTGGTTTGTTAATATTTTTTGAGAAAATTTTTCCATCTAAGAGTAAAAGTTCAACAGCATTTACAAGAGCGAGAAAAAATTGGACTAAGGTTTGCATCACCCCGCCAGCATTTTACTCTCTGCCGGGTATGATTTCAGGTATTAATGATAAGTGAATTGATTGGCAGATGTCACCAGAAAATTGAACAGATGGCGTCTGTGTGGTAACTGAGTGCTGTTCTAACTTCAAAAAAAAAAAAAAATAAATATTAATAAAATAAAATCGGCAAAAATGATAGAATTTTCCATAAAACCTTAATCCTTGTTTACAAAAGGAACAAGTATAAAAGTTATCTGCGTTAGTATGCGAGAGGGCAATTCTGGGTATCTTTATCGTAAAATACGAATTAATGTGTGTCGAACCTCTCCTTTTCGAATTAATAGAAGGGTCTCGTTCCGAGCTCTCCTGACTCTAGCTTTGAACTTCTGTCATAGAACAAAATTGCTAAACAGAAGAAGACGTACTTATCGGAACCAAGAATATTTTTGTATGAAATAGCATACGTACGAAGTGTCTATTGATACTATCTGTACCAAAACAAAGATTAGATGGTTTAAGGTTAAAAATATTTAATTTATTTTATCTTCGTCTATTATTTACACTCGTGCCACCTTTGAAGGTTTCGCGCATCACCCGTGTGCGCATACCATAGTTTAAGAATCGCTGCCTTACACTATTGATTTTTTATCATCTAATATGTAGTTACATATGTCCGTATGATTGGCATAATCTGAAATTAATATTTACTAAAAACATTATGTAAACATGCAAATTTATAAGTCAGGGGCGTAGCTGAGGAGGGATAGAGCAGTAGGCGCATAAAAAATATTTACGAAAAGGAAGATATTTATCTTGATGTAGACAATATATAGAGCGCTAATTGCGCACCGCAAATAACTTTTACACACTGGTGAAAGTTGTCGACCTGCAAATATCTTTGAAACAAAGCTGAGAATGCTTCCAATTTTAAACAACTGATTTTTTTAATTTTCATTTTGAATGTAATGGGCCGGCCTGATTCCATTAATGAATATGCTCTGATTTATACATACAAGCGAACAATATAAGTTCGCCACACGCCCTTGATTCTACAGAATTGGAAGGCAATTTCAATAAAAAAATTATTTTTTGTCGAACCTAGCGGTCGTCTTTTTATATTTTTCGGTGACTCCTACACTCGGCAATAATTTTTTTTAAATAGTTCTACTTGAATAATCAAAATACTTACTTAGAGTAAGTTTTACGAAATAGCCCATGCTAATCGAACAGCTGACTGGGTGTGAACAACAAAACTCGGTTAATCTACTCGCTTAAGCTTCTGTCGGTAACTTAATATAAGACTATGTAGTTCTTGTCATATATGTACTTACATATGTACTTAAAAGTGAAAAATAAAGCTCAAACTACGCCACTGTCTATATTTTAAAATGTTACTACCCAGTGAGCATTATAAGCTCTTGAGAATATTTCTAGTCAATTTGATTTTGAGGTACTTACATATGTGCAAAAATGGCTTAAAACGATCGTAAAAATTAAGAGTCGTTGATTGTAAATCAAAAAAAGTTAAAACTATTTTCAAATAAATCGCTTCACTTTGAGTATATTCATTAGCTAAGTGGAAGTTTTAGCTCAACTCTATTTTGCAGGGACCGAACATAACAGTTATTGATGAAAACTATCATGGAAAAATTCACTATTAAGGAAATGTTATACAACTAAATGATACATACCAATCGTTTTCGTTTTTCACCTAGACTCAAATTTAAAAATCAACTTTTATTTGCAATTTTTATGCAAAATTAAACAAAATTACAATTATTTATTAATCCAAAATAACAATTATTTTTGATTATTATATTATGTTTCTTAGATAACAGTTATAGAATCAATTAATAAAAATCAGTCAGTGACTTTTACTTTTAAAAGTCATCAATATAAATCAGTCACTGACTTTTATTTTTTAAATCATTCGTATAAAATTCATTAAAATTTTTCGCAGTTAAAAAGGAGTTGGGAAACAAAAGTTTACTACGACTTATACACATGACTTTTATAAGTATGATTTAAAAAATAAAGATCACTGACTGATTTTTATTTATGTCTTTTATAATTAAAAGTCTTTGATAACTGTTACCTAAGACATGTCATTTAAAAATGAAAAGTAACTGTTATTTGCAGATTAGTTAGATTAAAACAGAAAATAATTGTTATTTTGGATTTATAGAATAAAAATCAGAAATACCGGTTATTTAAGGAGTAATTAAAAAATGTCAAAAAATAATTGTTGAAGACCAATTTCTTTTAATAAAAAGAGTAGTTCCTACAAAGTAAAAAAGAAATTGCTTGCTGGTATTGAATATGGAGCAAAGCAACAAATGCAGTACATATAAATAAAATACCATTGGCCACGCCGAAACGGGGCGCACCCTATCTAAAAGTGCTATTACTTAGACACTTGGACGTGGCAATGCAAGTAATTTCACTCTGTCAAATTCAAGAATTTCGAAAAGTATATGGTGTTTTTTTAGAAGTGCAGAACTTTAAATTGAAATAAAATAATGAGATTGCATAATTTAGAACAGAAAATGGACTTTATTACATAAGTAGAAAAATTATTTTATGCTACAAAATTTTGACTTCTAAGGCAGGTTTGCATGAATAAAGTAATGACCTTACGTTACTCCAGAGAAAATTATCTGCAGGCGTTAAATCGCTCGTTCTCAGTATAGGGTGCCGTTCTCATATGTAGTTTTGTTTATTGCATGCCCGTTTCCGAAACAAACTAAGATTTCGAAGTGGTTCGAAAGCGATAAAAAAAAAACATTTGATTCTTCCGAACATTTTACATAAAGAAAATTGGTCCCTTGGACGAACCTACATTTCTTGGATATGAATTTAATATGAAAAGTGACAGAAGTAAAACAATTATTTTTCACTTAAACTTTTGGTGAAACCGACAGTTATTAAAGGCTCGGATATGAAAATAGTTCAATATTAGTTGAAACGAACTTTCAAGCCAAAATTTAGAAAATTCTTTGAAATAGGTCATAGGTGCCATAAGTTTAGAAAACCCCTATGTGAACATTTCCGGCTTAAGGTATCTTACCTCAAGTAACTTATCTTAAATTTAAAATTTCCTATAATATATATTTTTTCAATAGTATGCTACTTATCTCAACATGAAATCTAACTGACTCATATTTTGGTAGAGTGCAATAAAATATTGTCAAATAAATATATCTTGATTGTTATCTGTTTACGTGGGTTCGAAGACATGTGTGCCTCGGTTGTTAAGGATTTGTTATTTTTTCGATGGTTGTCAATTGCATGGATGTTTCCCAGTGGCTGGTACCATGAAAATAGATAATAGTTGCATCATTCTTTAGTTCGATAGTCGAGAAGAAAAGAAGTGACATTTTAAATTTGTGGAAGCAGATTTTTAAGAAAAAGGTGAAAAAATAAATAGTTATTTGGTTAGAATATGAAATATAATTGGCAAATTTTGGAAAGAAAATACATTTTAATGTGTGTTATCAATGAAAGAAAGTACCTGCCAATAGCTTTTGGCACTAAAATTGTTTTGAAAATTGTGCAACTCAAATCATTGGTTACATAAGTGCGAACCTAACCTCAAAAGCAATTCTATAAAGTGATGAAAAATTCAATGAAAAGCAATAAAAAGCGATTTACATAACAGTCAGTAGCGTAAATAACTAAATTACTCAATATTTATTTAATTTTCCAATTGATAATTGCTAAACGCAAAATTTTAGCAGAAAATTTCCGTTTGACCAAATACACCTTTTAATTTGTTCCTTTTTTAAAAATATTTTAATAATTTTGTAGCAAAATTTTATGCTGTAAAAACCTACTACACCATCCGCTGATATGGAGCCATCCACCAGCGCTGAAGCTGCTGCCGCAGCTGCTGTTGGACCCGATCCACGGCTCGAACTGATGGGCTCCTTTGTGATCAAATCACTCAAATTAAAACCTGAAAAATGGACACGCGTCATAACGGTGGAAGAACACAAAGCCATAATAAAGGAATTTCTAGATCGTCCCATACCGATGGTGCTGGTTATTATACTCACACAAGCCGCTCAATTGGTACCATCCACTACCTTTCCCCTCTCACAACTGAAAAGCAAGGGTGTGTACTTCATTAAGAAACATCCACAGCCTGTGCCACGTGAGGAATGTGGCAATTTTATCATTTTCGGTGACTTGGCTACACGCACCATCGATCAGCTATCGGCGTTGGTTGAGGAGGTGCTTGTACCATTGCTCTCCAATGATGTCAACTACAAGTCGTGGCCCACAATGGTTGCACAGGATGTGCAAAAGCATGTGCATAGCTTGAAGAGCACTGTGCATCAGGTGAAGGGGCAGGTGAGTGGTGAGACCATACTCGCTATGCCGGTGGGTGTGGAGTTGATTGTCAAATTGGCGGCTAAATTGAATGGACCGCGGCGCATAGCAATCGATTTGTATTTGAAAAGTGCTATCGAGGGTGTGGTCATCAAGTGGGCGGAACAAATACATGAAGTCATCAAAGAGAATCCTTCGAATGCGTTTCAAAATAAACAAAACCCAACGCCACATGTTGGTGAGTATGGCAATTTGTTTGGGAGAACAAATATGTATATGTACATTATGGTGGCCCTTAGAAATCAAATGATTGGTTTTTTAAGGCTCACCCCTCCATTGGTAATACCATGGTCTCAGATATCACATATAAATTTTGATTCTTATTGGAGACGGTTAAGTCGTGTCGCACAGGGGCGAAATTATAGATTCCCCTACAGAGACTAAAAATTAAAACTTTTTTTTTTTAGAGACATAACTACTATAAGAGAAAAGAATTAAAATCAATCAATAATTATTATATTGAGATAAATATTTTTCGAGTCATCTATAATTATTATACAAGGACTTATATTATAAAAGGCCTTTCATAATAATTATCACAGAGATAAATATTTTTAAGATTGAAGTCGGCTAAGACGTCTTCATAGGGTTATCTGAACTTTGACCCCTGTGCGACACGCCTTAACTGCCACCAGTCGGGAACAAAATTTATATGTGATAACTTCGAGCATAGTAGCATCGACGTAGGGGTTGAGGCTTCTGATGTAAAAATTTGTTTTCTACATTTAAAAACCACCCTAATGTACATGCATTTGTTTTAAGTTTTTGAATCACATTATTTTAAATGCCTATTTTTAAATCGATTACCCCGATGATCGATTAATTGAGACTTTCGATATTTGAATTTACTTCACAAGGTTCTGATACTAAGAAAAGCTTCGTTCTTTAGAATAAAAAGTCAAAACTTTATTTTGAAGTACATATATGCATATATTCCAGTGGTGCTACCGGAAATTATGTGATTCTAATTCTAGGCCAAACACTAACAGATGTGTAAGCGCCAATCTATTATTATTAGTTCTATTAACCCACATCCGGTGATTGGAGAAATATGACCATGGTAAAAAATACTTCGATAGACTTATCCGAATAGAGAAAAGTCGTTTTTACATTTACAAGACATACAAGTTTGACCCAAATCCACAAAATTTGATTGTTCTTGAAAAAAAATATGGAATGTACATGATCATGAAATTTAAATTTGGAAAAATATCACCCGCACTTCATTTTATCTAACTTCGTTTAAATAAAATATTCTTATTTTTGCATAAAATTAAAATTTGTTTGTACCTTATCAACAAATTCTGAATAAAAATGCATACTACTTGAACATCGGATTAAATGCCAAAATTTTAGATGAACAAATAAACCGTTAGGGGCCTCAAAGTATTTTCTTGTTCTTTTGGACGTTGACCGTACCGACCGTTAAACTTCAAAGGACAATATCTCCGGTACAGAAGAGATAGGCGAAATAAGAAAAACATCCATTTTAGGGGAAACAGTTGTATTTCCAAATGGTGCATAGAGTTTTATGTATAACAAAAAATGTATTCGTAACAAGAATGATAGAATACAAGATCGCGCCAATCGAGCTGAGATTAACTGGGTATGACGTCACAGTATTGAGCGAATGAGAGAGTAAAGAATAATTTTAAAGAAGAAGAAAAAGCGAATATGTGGTGCGAAATAGTGATGTAAAACTAGGTAGAATTGTAGCCTGGTTAAGTTTGAATATCTGAGGTTTTTTGGTTTTCGTTTGTGGAATTGGCCAAAACCATTGAAAGCCGAAAATTGTGGGACTTTCCTTTCAGCTCACCGCACTAAAAGCCCACCCTGCTCCGTTTCCATGCCACCCTGGAACTACCGTAACCCCGCACGAAGCAATTTAGTTCAAATTGTGTTTGAAAACGACTGACCAGTTCTCTTCCGACTCAAGCACCTTCAGGAAAATAAACACTGTTAGCGTCTTCAGTAATATCCTTTGCACCGTCATCATGCTTAATTCTGTACAAATAAGATGATTTTAAGCAACCATGTCCCGTAAGTATTTGAGTCATGTGAAAATCCACTTTCCCATGTTGACTACTTACCCATCTTGACATCGAGGTTATCGGGGGTGCGCGACTATCGTAGCTCTTGATCTGATAATCTGATCCATTGTACTCAAAAGTAGGCGTATGTATGGTGGTCTTAAAATTATGACACACTTTGTAGTGGTTTTTTTCCCTGCCCTGACGGCTGGCATTACGTTGTGGAGAGGGAGCGGGACTTTTTCGCTTGATGCTGTTCCCTGAAAAAAGTGTTTGCCATATGGCAAACGTCTGAGCAATTTTCTATTGACTCAAGCGTAATATCTACAAGTTTGTCAGCCTTAATTGGCCTCTCCACCTTCCTGCTCAAGTTGTCCCTTTCGATTGCAAATCTCAGGCATACGAAAAAACAGTGTCCTGTTCAGTGACCTTTTCGGTACAGACCGTTAAATAGGGGTCGTCCTCGTATGTAAGTTTGTACCCTTAAAAGAACCATATCTCGTTAATATTTTGGCTAGGTCAAGCCATTTGCTTATACTCGGAATGAGTTTATGTGTCCAACGTATCATAGTCGAACGGGCCAAACGATCCTGCCACTGCTACAAGCAGTTTTGCTTTGCTCTTTCTCTACACACCAGCCCTATTATCACTGAGGTATCCGAGAAAGTCTGATTCCGGATTTTAAACTCTGTGCTCCAAACAACCCTCGAAAAAGTATAGCTGGTTCTCAGGGTACTGAGTTCTGCAGTATTTTGTTAATTTGTTTGTGCGAATTCTTCTTATTATTGGCAATGCAATTATTTAGGGAGCTAAAAGTTGTACTCAACTTCACTCTAGGTAACCGCATCAGTTTGCTGGGACTCCAAGTTCAGATATTACATCGTAGCTTATCTTCGTGCTATAAAAGGCAACTTTAAAATCAACGAAATGTGGGTTGTGTGTTGATTTGTTTATGTAGGATCTCCCGGTTTTGACGAACCGCGCAATGGATTTGCTAGGTCTGAAGGTCCGCGCTAGTTGGCGCAAATAGGGGGATCTCCATCCTTCTGTATATGGAAAATACGCCGGGTGGGTAATTAAAATTTGGATTAATCACTGCTACATGGACCCTACCAGCCCTTCGCCGTTGGCCTTGCTGTTCTCACGTCGTCTTGGTTTAGGGAAGGTACGTAAGCTTCGTTCCTATACATTTGGTTGGGGTTCCTGCGGTTATGTCAGCTTTGTACCTTGCGAGGACATGCAATTGTTTGATAAAGACACCCTCCCTATAGATGGCCCAGACTAGAGATGGGCACGGGACTAAATATTCAATCCCGATCACGGCCATCCCGAAATAAAATTGTTAAGTCCCGAACCCGCTCAACCCGCCGTTTTTGCCTCGTGGGTCCCGAAATCTATTGCTAAGAAAAATTTACCAGTCTTTCGAATTAATTTTAAATAATAAAAAAGATCATAAAGATCCATTTTTTTTCTATGTTGTTCGTTTTCATCTCAATAAAACATAAAATAATTCTTATTTTATACAACGTTTTAGGTAAGATTTTCTGAATTTGCGGCGGTTGTGGGTTTTATCGAGAGTGTCAAGAAAGGATTTTGGTCCCGTCCCGCCCGAAAAGTTTTGAAAGGCCTTCCCGATACCGTCCACCCAGGCCATTTTGAAATCTGTACCGTTGGTCCCGCGGCTCCCGATATCCCGCGCCCATCTTTAGTCCAGACATTCCGTATGCATATCCATAAATCTCAGTCCTTGTGTTATGTACGACCGCACATTGCTTGCGTCATTTATTGGTGAACATACCCTGCTAACTTCAGTGAGCACTTAAACCGAAGAAGTCGGTATGGTCCCACCGAAGCTCCCTCCCTTTCTGCCGTGAACCAAGGCTCACACGAACTAGTTAGCGCATTTGGCACATGGGTTGCTCTCATTGTCCAGAGTGCGCGAACGGTAGCGCAAAATTTGGGATTGAGTTTAACCGTGCAACTGTAACTGAATACCCAGAAGAACGACCTTACTACATTGCACTGCCACCCATCGCTTTCCTTTGGCAAAGTTTAATTTTAGACTTGTTGAAGAATCTTCGTACAAAAGATTTCGTTCATTTTAAATTAGATCTTTCTCCCACTTTCGATTAACAAAATTTATTTATTTTAACTTAAAGAAATTGCTTTCTGGAATAATCGCCTCAAAAATTTGTCCTTCATATTCGATCAATTGCGCGGTGAACGAATACGCGCTATGGCTTTAGTGCTGGAATACACCAATAGTGCATATCATCCATGCTTTCAGGGCATATTCAAGAATGTGGTAACAGGTAAACAAACTAGATGCTGAAATTTTAAGATAAAATATATATATATATATATTTGCTAGCGCTGGCCGAAGCGAAAGACATAACGCTCTATCTTAACCCATTGAAGCGTCTTATACAAATGCTGGAAGAGATTGATTTTGCTGAATGCAAACCGTTACTTATACCGTTAATGTATGTGGTCTGCACGATGTGGGGTAATTCACGTTATTACAGTAACTCTTCGAAGATAACGGTGTTGCTGAAACAAATCTGTAATCTAATTATACACCAGGTAATAAAGGATTTATCGGCGTACTCCGAAATATATCTGTTCCCTAAATTTGTATGTTTTCTTAATTATAGGCCAAGCGTTTTCTCGATCCCTCTTCCATATTTCACAGCGATATTGACGAAGCTATGCAACGACTCACACAATCCATACAAATCTTGAAGTTCTTTCGCGAACTTTTCGATTACTACAAAGAACATTTGGCTGAATTCTTTCCCGAGCCGGAGGAGAGACCACCGATTCTCTGGACTTTTCATCCCAATTCCGTTTTCAATCGCTTTAATGCCTTTCTGGAGCGTTTAACAACAATACAATGGTAAGTTTACCAAAAATATCTGCAAACTGTAGTTTCCTTGCACAGCTTTTTTCTGCTTTTATTAGGTTTTTCTTTACGGTGATTGAATTCTTGAAATTAGAGAAAGTAGAGATCGGTGGCCTACGCGGCCGGCAATTGAGTACACGCATCACTGCTGTCTATGTCGAGTTTAATCAGTACTTTACCGCATTCGCCTCCAAGTCCTACGATGTGCTCGATCCCGACGATCATGAATTTGACGAGGATTTCAAGGACTTTCAAACACACATTTTGGAATTGGATATGAAATTGGCTGCGATCTTGTGTCAAGCATTCGATGACTGTCACAATTTGGAGAGCATGTTCAAGGTCAGCATAGTGGATGCAAGAAAGTGGAAGGTTTTGCAAAACTTTTTTTATATAAATTTCATTTCTTTTAGCTTATAAATATTGTGGGCAGCGTAATCGATCGTCCAAAAATTAAGGAGCAATTTACACAGCGATATACAGAAATTGTACAAATGCTCGAAGTGGAAATGACCACCTGTGAGGATATATTCTACAAGCAACTGGATTTACAGCAAGTGAATAAAAATTTATATCCCGATTATAATTGTCCACCAGTAGCGGCTTTCATACGTTGGTGCAATCAACTGGAAGCGCGCATTAGTACGCCTATGAAACATTTTCAAAAACTACAACACGAGTAAGTATATATTTATATAAAATTTTCTAAATTTATATCCAACACATCAGCTACGAACAAAATCAAAGTTAGACGGTGGACGGCAAAGCATTAAGTCTGACCGCAATTCTAACCGCATGTTTCGAAATATTCTGTCATATATCTCGGTCACGAGCCAAACCCGTGACGGTTTGGTAGAATGCTAAGTAAATAGGGGCAACATAGATATACCAAGTGCAGTCGACAGAAGAGGTCGAGTAGCAACATTCATGTGAAAGCTTATTTCCTCATTTCACAAATATCTTTTTAAGATGTTTAGCAGATGGGTAGGGAATGTGGAATTATATTCATCCCTAGGGAAGGGAAACTTAAAGACAAATGATTAGAGGCCGACAGTTACCTTAAAGCTTTTAGAAATAATAGTTATATATTTACATATTAGGGAAAGATCAGTGGTCGGTAGTACTAGATATTTAGAAACATTAGACTTTAAGGAATATACCCTGGTTGGCTCCGTGGACTGGGAGGGATCCTTCAATAATGTCCTCTCGGATACAATAAGCCGGACATTTCTAGAACGTAGCAGTCAGCGTTCCATAGTATGAGCTTGAGTTGACTCCATGAATGAGGGTAGAGTGATCAATGCGGATATTGGCACTTCCCCTTTTCTCTGGCTCCTGGTGGTGAATGAAATCCAGAGATCATTAAAAACAAAAGGAATGAAGGTTGTTGCCTATGGTGACGATATTGTAATACTTATCTCGGAAACATTGCTGGCAGCGATAAGTGAACTAATCAAGCGAGCACTGGACGACTTCTCGAAGTGGGCCAAATCAAAAGTGAAAAGTTCCCACTTTTTCTCTGCTGCTTTGAATTCCTCCAAATTGAATTGGGAAGGGAGTATGGAGAATAGCATTAACAAGTTTCTAACGGATTATTACATCAGTAAAAGAGCTTTTTGAAAACAATAGGAAAGGAAAATTGATGAATACACCATAGCCATTAAAAATTACTTATGGGTAAATCGAGAATATCTATATAGGTTCCGAACTTCGAATGCTTTGTCTAAAGGTTATTAAGTACATGGCTAAAACTGCAAATTAATCTAGATAAATCTTTAACTTAAGCCACCCGAGCAAGTTTTATAATGCTCTTTGGATCAACGTAGCGTGTGAATTTAAAGGTTATACAAAGGCTTTACCACATAACGGTCCCTTCAATTGGGGTTTATACTTTCGCTGTTAGGTGGCCAACAACTCTTCAAAAAGAAAAATGATTACCAGGTGCATGGTTCAAGGATACACGGTAAATGATTTGTTCTACCTTGGACCTGGAGCTACCCCATATGTGTATGTTCAAGCAGAAGTAACTTCGATAGAGAGAAATATCTATATTATCAAAATGAACCTACTTTGGCAGGAAATTCTAAATCAAAATTAGGAAGTCAAGACAAACGAACTCCCTTAGTAAGTTTCCAGAAATGTACGCAAATTGGTACATAGATGAGGCAAATATAGATAATAGAATGGTTGCAATAGGCGGATGGCTCATTGCGCTGTAAGTGGAGATGGTAAAAATCTCAAATTGGGCATTAATGGGAATCTTTTTCGATGGATAAACGACACATCTAGAGTTTTCGAAGAGTATTGAGACTATCTTCAACTCGTGGAAGCGGAAGTCGCTGCAAAAGTTTTAAGTGATATAAGTAAAGCTGGCATCAGTTTACGGATTATTTAACCGTTCAGCGAAGCTTCTGTGTTGGCAAATGCACTAGCTGGCCCATGTGGCTTCGGGGTTGGGGACTTCACGATTTAAAATTCCTTGAAAGTTTCATTGCCCCTTGTTTGCTATACGTTACTGATTAACGAACTCCAGAATTTGGATTAAGCTTCAAAGGAGCAAGGGGAGAAGTAACTTAAAATATGAATGCAAAGGTTATCGACAGGAAAATGAAAATTGCATCCTCCTTTTTTTCTCTATTTCCTTCTCTTTATTCCACAGTATCACCAAATCCGAGATGGCCCTTGATATCTATACACGCTACGAACGCTTGATGCGCCGTCTGGGCATACACAAAACGTGTGCTTTCGAAGAATGGAGTGAAAAGTTGCCAGAGCAAATCGAAATGAATCTAAAAGTTTCGCTCATAGCACGCGATCCCAATAGCAATTCGTTGATTTTAAATTTCAGTCCAGAGCTCTTTAGTATTCTGCGTGAGGTGCATTATTTGAAGCAAATGGCTGTGGAGGGTATACCGGAAATTGCTTTGGATTTTGCTGAGAAAAATGAAACGTTCCGCACTTATACATTGAATTTGGAGAAGACTATAGACTGGTATAACACTATACAGGAAAATAGTTCTCCGGTTGAATTGCAGCTGATCGAATCGGAAATAAAACAAATCGATGACTTGGTGGTGATTGGTGTCAACGAATTGGTATGGAATTCAGACGGTAAGTAGAAAAGAAAGGATGAAGTTTTAGTACTTGGTAGATAATAAATATAACAAGTAAGAAAGTCTAAGTTCGGTCGGAGCCGAACATTAAATACCCGGCGCAAGTATTAAATATATGTTTTTCACCTTTCCGAAAGCTACCGCTACATGATAAACCGGGGTGTATCAATTTGGAGTAAATTAGCGTCCTTAAATTTCGAAATATTGAAGTTTCAAGCATTTCTGAAATTTACTATTATATGAAAAGCGGCCGTAATTTTAGTTGGATTTCAATAATTTTCAACGTTTTGCTTCTATGTGGCAAGCACAATAACCACACCGAGTTTGGTACAAATTGGTAGAACGGTTACCGAGATACATATATGTGATCATAAGTGGGCGGTGCCACGCCCATTTTTCAAAATTTTATCCTAAACATATTTCCTGGTAAAGAATTGTTGCAAGCATCCACTTTGAATAAATTAGCTTCAATAATTACTGATTTATCGAAGATTTCGTATATCTCTAAATTACCGTTATATGGGATGTGGGCGTGGTTATAGTTTTATCAGTATTTTTCTTTTAATCAAAATATGTTGAAATAAAAGTGAAACTAAAAAATTTTTTGCCAGGGATAAAATATTACAAATTAGGGTGAAATTAATATTTTAAGAAAACATCTACCATCGCACAGTGGTTGCATTTATGTAGGGAGAGCGGCCAAAAATACTTTTAATGGACATATCGGGATAAAATTTTTACCCTAAGGTCTGTTGAGAGTAAAAACTGTAATATGTAAAAGTGGGCGGGGTTGGACACGCCCACATACAGTCATAGGAAAAAAATAGTGATACGACATTGTGACCAGTTTCGGCTATTTTTTTTTTGTTTGTGTAATGTTTATATTTTTATAAAAATACAACTCACTATCTAACAAAAACCACATAAGTCCAAATTTTGAACTTTATAAAAAAAGTAGAAAAATTCAACAAAATTCTAAAACAACACAAACCTTTTTAATAAGAACTTTTAGAAAAAATCTAGGTGTGCAGTTTTATAGCCCACTGAATTCTAGCTCAAGATAGTGCAAGTTTGAAGTGGCTAAAAATTTGCGTTGATTGTTGATAATATTTTTTTTTTGTCAAACATACTTTGAATGGAAGAAAATGCGCGACACCGTCGGGAAAAAAATTATTATTAATTTCTTAGCCACTTAAAACTTGCACTATCTTGAGCTAGAATTCAGTGGGCTATAAAACTGCTTTCATAACTTTTTTCTAAAAGTACTTATTTAAAATGTTTGGTGTTGTTTTAAAATTTTGTTGAATTTTTATATTTTTTTTACAAAGTTTGGAATTTGTTTTTTGTTAGATACTGACTTGTATTTTTATAAAAAAAAATAAACATTAAACAAACAAAAAAAAAATAGCCGAAACTGGTCACAATGTCGTATCACTATTTTTTTCCTATGACTGTATGTGGGCGTGTCCAACCCCGCCCACTTTTACATATTACAGTTTTTACTTTTAACAGACCTTAGGTAAAAATTTTATCCCGATATGTTCGTCGACGCTTAAAGCTCAGTTAGTCAACGACGTAGCGTAAACGTAGGTTGACGTACGTAGCAGCATATCAAATTTACTGTTGATAGAGAGAGAGAGAAGCAACGGCAACGTCACCGCCATGCGGTGGTGAGTTTTCGTTAGCACGCGAATACATTTTTGTAACTCATATCGATCTGGCTCAAAACCCTCATATTCAATATCTTTCGCTGGGTATTAACCCAGCAAATTTTGAAATTTTTGGAATGCGTACAGAAATTTTCACGCCAAATCTCAAGAACATGCAATCGAGAAAATTCGCAGTGTTAACTTGTGCCTAGAAACATTTTGAATTAGAAAATTAGATGTGTAAAACAAGAAATAAACATAAAAATAAAATAATGTAAAAAAAAATTCTTTTAAAAACAAGCTTTTATTTAACATGTACAATCAAAGGAATAAAATAAAGTAGTGTAACAAAATATTTTTTAGCAAGAAAATTTTGTCAAAACTGCACTAAAATGAATAAAATAAAATAAGTTAAGGTCTCGTTAAAGTTACTAAAAGGCATTTAGTGAAAGGAGTTATTCAAACTCTAATGAAAATTACTTACAATTTGTACTAATTTACTTCGTTTTTCTGCATACATACATATACATACCTAACCAATTATGCATGTACGCTGAATTCGCCGACAAGCTTTTATATTAAAAACCGTTGTATATTAAAAAGTGTTATTTTATTTTATGTACAAAATTTTGCAATAGATATTAAAATAATTCAACTTGCAATGAAAGAGAACAGAAGACTATGCAAGCAAAATGTTATTTGCTTACGTTTTGTAGAAACATACAGATGTACATACATATGTACATATAGCAGCAGTTAATTTCATTTAAAGAAATGGCGTGTCGTCCATTTCCGCTGTAGCGTATGTAAATGGAATATATTTACAGGTCTATTCTGCACGTTACCGAAGATTTTGTGACCGGAAAATTTTATTACCAAAACATGTTACCACTTCTTGTCACCTCGATTCTAGGTACGTTGGTAATGCAGTGAAAATATTCAGCAACTCAGCTATGAAGATTTGTGGAAATTCCGGTATTGCATATTTCACGGGGCAATATTTTGTTAGCAGCTTATGAGATGGTAACCAAATTTATCGGTTACAAGAGAGCACAGAATGCGAAAAAGGTTTAAAAATTGACAGACACTTAATACCAGTTATAAAATTTATGTTACCGGCGCAGAATTGACCTGTTAGACGCAATATTTAACTTCTCCTGGCGGTGCGACATCTGGAGTCTTCTAATTGTATCTCATTGATATGATGCCTACAACGAGATTCATATCTAGACCAGGTTGATATCTAGAATTTGCCACAAATAGCTTTGCTGCACTACCGCCGGCAGCTTTAACAATTTTATAGTGGTTTTACGTTCTTTGGCAAATTACGCTCTGTTAGCCATAAATCTTACTATTTTTTGACCGCCTTTGAATCAAGACCCCTGGACCATATAGGGAATTCATTTATATTTTAAACTGCATTGTCATCGCGATTGGAATTATGCTGAAAATTTCAAGTCTCTAACTTGTCGGAAAGTTAGTTTAATATCGATTGGAAATTTCCGCGACTTTCGCGGGATGACCAAGTAAAATAAAAGCTTATAAAACTGTAGAAAATAAAGAGCTTGGATTAGGTTATGGAATACTACGCGAGCCTCTGCAGATCAATGCATCTACACTGAACACTTTTATAATTTTAAAATATTAACAAACAATATGTAAATAAAAATATTGAGGGCCGATAGGGAAAACACACTTAAAACATTACCTGAATACTTGAAAGACGAACCAAGAAACACACAAAATCCTACTTTTCTAAAACAACGATTTCCATAGAACACAACACGAATTATCTAAAAGTTTAATGGTAGAAATAAAGTCAATACTTTTATGTACAATATCCATTGCATACAATTTTAACTCACTCGGCTTTTCACAATGTTTTAGTTACGTTAAATCCAATTAAATTTTCAGCGTGCTGACGCTGTAAAAATAAAATGAACAATTGATGACACTTTTTTGCTTTTTTCAGAAACAGCCGTTAGAATTAAAACAAAAAATATATGACAACATGAAGTTTGGACAAAGAACTGAAGGCAAAGCCTATTTTGGTTCAAACATTTTTACATACATTTTTTTAATTTTGTCCTATGGCAGCAACCACTGTGCATCGTTGATTGCAATTCATCAATATAAGCTTTTATTTAACGAAAAATTACACACATCAACAATCTTTGCGATTGTCAAAATTTTCTAAAATTTCACTAGCCTCACGAGCTTTGAAATTTTACTCACCTCATAGGTGTCAAAAATTTACTCGCTGCGAATTTTGTTACCGATTCACACACGCTCTTTATATGATTTTAAAATGCTGGCAAACGTCAGAAGAAAAATCATGGCCGACGAATTGAGAGAATGAATTTATTGGTTCATATACCATCTGTCTCGGCAACTTGAAGGGATTAAAAGAGTCAATCGCGCAAAGTATGCGGCATTTTCTGGTGTTTCACTAGAAAACAAAAAGCAGTCAACGACCTCGCAGCGGCTGTTCAGGATTTAATGGTCAGTTGCACCTTGCTCAAGTTGATTCAAATGCTTTTCTGGTGGCTATCAGAAGGAAATGGAAATTTAATGGCTGTAATAGGAACAAGGGACACCGCTACATTTTGTATGCTTATAACAGTTTCCAACCCTTTCAGCCCAAAGTACTATCAAGCCTTCCTAATAAAAGTAAACTGTTTCTTTTCTTGGTCGCCGAACTCCTGACGTCTCTCACGTTTATTTGAGGGCAGAAAAGGCATCACTTTCGCCGGATCAGAGCGCAACCTGCTGAGAAAAGAACACGACGCCTTGTGAAAGGGCTGAGAAAAGAACATGAAAATGTGACAGCGCTAACACAAGGCAGAATAAGTGCAGCCTTTTTTCGAAAAAAGAAAACGCTATTAGTGTAGCCAATGCCGGACGGTCACACAGAATGTGCTCCGACGTCTTCTCCTCTTCAAGACAAAGACAGTATCCCGTCAATAAGAAACTTGATGTTGGCTCTATTGAAAAGGTGTCTACATATCTTTCCCAGCAAAACGATAACCAAAAGTCTAGCCTGGCTAAGTCCCCCTACCTCTTCACAGTTCTTACTGCGTTCTGAGTTTACCGACGTTTCGATTATGATTTTCGAATAGCGCCGACTGAGTCCCCAAAATGGGTTCAGTCCTACAAGTGTAGACGATGAGTCTTCCCTCGTCAGTTCGTCGGCGACCTGCTTACCTTCGATCACGCGAGGTACCTAGCTTAGTAACATCGTATTCCTTGCTATCAAGAGTGGGATCCTAGGCAATAACACTAGTTCATTGATGGATACAAGTTGGAAGGCAAAGCAGATGCGCTTGTCGTTGGACCTGTTATCAAATTTTTTATTGAAATGGGTACTTGGTCTGCGGTTTTTAAGCCTGAGGGACTAGAAATCTCAGTTTTTTTGCCAGATTGATCCTTAAAAAGGATTTTAAATGCGCCTTTCTAGCTATATATTCAGACATAAAGGCGGCTATAAAGGCGCTATACAATAGGACAATCGCTACTGGGTTCGTTAAAACGTACTTTGCATTTGCGAATTCCTAGAAGCCACTACTGCTTGGAGTCCAACCCAAAAGCGACTCCGCGCTTGAATATGTTCCCATTGCTCTTATAACTGAGAGTAGAGCCAACCTTTTGACGGCTTTGGCCGCGAGACTATGAAGGCATTACCCACAATATAATGTATTACAGTGCAATATAGCCCTTCTAGTAATTTGGAGTGCAGACCCCATGTTCGACCAAGAAGTCTTCGACACGCCCAAATAGGCCGAGTGGCATTACTATGGGTTTTGTATAGAAGGAAATTCCAACTTATTATCTTACATATCTTGGCTAACTCCAAGATATTTTACTTCGTCAAAGTATTCAACAAATGTTTCTCCACGGTTAGCCGGACCAAGGTACGGCTTATACCTTCTTTTAAGCGGTGTTCACGTACCGCCTTTTGAGGGTTTATATAGAGGCCCTGGTTGGCACAACAGTTTGATGCCACACGCAGAGCTGCATTTATATCGTTTGATACAGTACTACCACATTTTCAAATAACAATAATTACCAAGTCGTCCGCGTACCCAACAGCACCGCAGCCACATTCCTATAGTTTGGTTAATAGGTCATCCACCGCAAAAGACTAGATTAAAAGAGAAGGAATACCTCCCTGTGGGCATCCCCTTATGGCTCTTTTCCCTTTACTTTGTCATTAAAATATGAATCTTATATCGCAAGTTTCCAATGCTATTTATAAGCTATCATCTAACACTTCTATACCCTACAGATATCACCACATATCTAAACAACCTTCGTACTCCCGTCGCGGCATTGCAAAATCGCATGCATCATACCCAAAGTAATCTAAAACAAATCAGTCAACTCATGTCTGTTTGGGCAAAACAACCGCTCTTTGAGCGTAGAGATTCTAAAAAGGATACCGTGCTTTGCATTGACGAGCGGCCAGACCGCACAGCAAAACGTTATGCGGAAATACAAGCCGCCTCTGTAGAGATACATAAATTGCTTGAGGATAATATGTTACAGTTCAATATGGTTAATAGGCAGGAAGATGAGATTTGGTTGAACTATGTGAACTTTGTGGATAATATTGTATATGAGAACATATTGAAGACGGTAGGTGTGAGCGTGGGCTATCTAGCAGAAAATATGGATGCCGACAACAATTGTGCGCCACTTTTCGAATCTCGCTTGGAATTAGTCGAGCCGAATTTAGTATTTGTGCCTTCGCTTGATCCCGCAGATCCGATGGGTTTTAACAACATGTTGATAGAGCTGATGCGCGACATAATGAAAATGGCTACGCTGATAAAGCGGTTGAAGAAAAATGAAAAACGTAATTATGGTGATATGGTTAAGGAAAACCAGGACATCATTGATATGCGTCGCGAGATTTTGAATGGCGTCGATCGCGTTATGGAGGAAGCATCGCTCTTCTGTCGCCAATTCGAGCGTTACTCTTACCTTTGGCTCGACGATCGACAAGAATGCATGGAATATTTCCTAGAGTATGGACGCATATTAGATGTGGAGGAAATTGATTTGGTGCTGATGAAAGAACCGGGCGCACCGGAGCCATGTCCGCCCACCATCGAGGCTTTCCGCGAACAAATCGACAACTACGAATCGCTGTTTAATGAAATCGAAGATATTGCACCATTTCAAATTTTCAATGCCTGGTTTCAAGTCGATGTGCGCCCCTTTAGACAAGCGCTGTTGAATACAGTTTGCAAGTGGGGCAATATGTTTAAGGAGCATCTGGTGAACACCGTCACGAATAATCTAATGGATTTGAGTGGTTTCATACGAAAGGCAGACGAAGGTCTGCTGCAGACTGTTAAGGAGGGCGATTACGCTGGACTCGTCAGCATTATGGCTTTTCTGATGCAGGTTAAGGAGCGCGCTGTTAAGACGGACAACATGTTCGAACCCATGCAAGAGACCATACAGCTGCTGAAATACTTCGACATGGACATACCGGAGGAGGTAAATGTTCTGCTGCAAGAGCTGCCCGAGCAATGGGTCAACACGAAGAAGATTGCGATGACCGTGAAGCAACAGGTGTCGCCCTTGCAGGCTACCGAAGTGGTGCGCATACGCAATAAGGTTGCCGAGTTTGAGACGCACACTCAGCTATTCCGGGACATCTTCAAACATTATAAATTCTTCCGATTTGATTGTCACCAGCCCTATTTGCTGATTGATCGCATAAACGATGACATACATCGGCTGGAATGCGAAATGCGCGACATACAGGAGTCGGGTAGTCTGTTCGAGGTTAATATACCCGAGTTTAAGGCATTGAAGCAATGCCGCAAGGAGTTGCGTATGTTGAAGGTAATAATTTTCTTTTCTAGTCGACGATGTATATGTACTACTATACATGTGTATATAGTTATTAAACAAATTTTTTCTGCATTGAATTTTTTGCAAGTACATAATTGTGCAGTCAAAAGCTGTTACAACATTTTTTAAAAACTATTTTGTATTTTGCATGCGACAATTTGGAAACTTTGTTTTTAATTTGAAAGACATTTGCATTTTTATGACTGGGACTTTAGACTTTACAACCTATTTCCCTAGCTAACACGAGTATAGCCAAGACTGTTTTAAAAGTCGTACTTGTTAAACAACGTCCTTTTTTGAGTTGCCCTCCATTAATGAAATATTAAAATTATGTCATTGTAGCTGAGTGGTTAGGGGTGCATATAACCGATGAGTTCGATCCTTAGTCCGAGCAACATCTAACAGCTAGATTGGTCCTTATTACATCTACATCAACATTTTATAGGGCACTCCTTTTTGGGTTTGAAAACATTTAATTTTTTTGGAAATCTGATAAATTTGACATATTATTGAAACCAGAGACCGAAATAAACGTTAAATATCGTTAGATTGGTATTTAGACCATGCAAAATCTTTATTTTTCGTTTTTTATTTTCAATGAATTTTTCCCTACTTGACCTTCAAATCACCTCGAACCTGACGTGATGGAGGCTAACGTACCTCGGATTGGATTCAGCGCGTTGAAACATACGCAGATATGGAAAATATGCCATAAATTTTCTTTTTTGTGATCCTGTGTAATTGTTATATTTGGAGTTTTAATTTTTTGGCCAAATTTAATTGTTATTGTGTGATTTTTTTTTTTTGTCAAAAATAATCGCCTTTTTGCATCTTTATTTTTTCGATTATTTTTTCAATTTAAATTTTAAGATAACGGTTATAATAGGACCGAAAAAGTCAAAATCGAAGACAACGACAAAAAATTGATTGAAAACATTAGAATTCGAAAGAAAGGAGAAATCCAATTTTAACGGTAAAATTATCATTATTATTAGAAAGATCATAACCGTTACCGTGCCTGATTAAAACCCATTCATATAAATTAATAAACTCACTGAGTTATAGCTGGTCAAGGTCAATGTTTATTTTTTATTTTTGCGATAAAAAAAAATATATTTTCAAACCCTGGTGGCGATCACAAGTTTTTTCTTTAAATTTAGAAAAGGGGTGCCCCATTATGTTAATATTTTAAGAACCACTCCAATGCACATCATTTTTATATGTGGAAACTCTATTCGGGAATTCATCTGAATAAAAGCGTTTTCTAATATTTTTGATAGGGTTACCATCTATAAAAACAATCCACAATTACAAACTTAATTCTGGGATATATTCAATTGGGGGGTACCAAAAGGACGCTTAGCTAACGTTTCAGTAGCAAAACTTATCAGCACACTAACCAGGTATTGGCTAGTTGCGTGTAAGGTTAAATTTCAAACTTTATCGCAATGGTGTGCCAGGATATTTTTTACCTATGGACTGGAAACAGGTTGTTTAGTCAAAGATCTCTGGCAACTCTCCATGTATTGTTTTGTATTTTGAAGTATTTTTTTAAAGAAAATAGTTTTGCACAAAAAAAAACAGGTAATACGCAGAATGGACCATCTCATAATCAACAAAACAATTTTTTT